TACAACATAGTTAATCCAAACATAAATGATATAATAAATAAATAATTTTGAAAAATGGCATTTTTGCAAAAATTGTAAAAAAAATGGTATTTTTGTAAAGTGGCACATGAAAATTGGTATTTTTTTAAATTTCTCTTATTAAAACAACTAACCGAATAGTAAAAAAGAAAAATTTTAATAATCTCAAATAGTAAGGAAAAAATAATTAAAATAGTTTAAAAAATTGTAAAAAATAAAATTAGGAAAGAAAATAGAGAGAATATAAAAAAAGTATAAAGGAAATAATATTTTAAATTAAGAAAAAAAGAATTTTTATAAATTTAAAAACAAGAAAATTAGAAAAGATATGGAAATCTCAATGTTAAAGTTTATATACACAAACATACCAAAGAAAAAAAATCTATAAACATATTAACTTTGTAAATGTAAACATAATTATAGAATATTACAAAGAAAATATAAATCTTCTACCTATACTTTTCAATATTAAATAAAGAAATTATATAAAATGAAAATTTATACATGTTATAAAATATAATTATATATTTACTATTAAAATCCAAAAGTGTAAGATTTAACGAGTGTAGATCTCTATAAAAAATAAACCAATGAGATCAATGACGTTTTTCAATAATAGATTTATATATAATGTTTGATAAAATTATTATAAAATATTCTAGTAGGTTTTTGTGATATTATTCACGTTTGATAATTTAACTCTATAATATTATTGTTACAAGATTTTATCATAGTTAATATAAAAATTCATAATGTGTAAAACTATTTGTTTTTGTTATTAAGAATATGATTTGAATTTCATTTATGTATATATATTTTTCGGCATGCATAATATGAATTAAGACATGAGAATTAAGATATAAACTAAACTTTAATGGTTTGAGATCCATGTTTAAATATTTTTGTAATTGAACGGGTTATTAGCAAAAACTTAAATTTTGATATTAATATTTTTTAATGTGTTTACCCGCCTATTAACGCAGGTCCTATTCTAGTAGTGATATAAATTAGCATTTTCAAAAAGAAAAAACATACTACTTAACAAATTTACGCATTTTAACGAACGTTAGACCAATTTAAATACTAAATAGTTAACCTCAAACATGTGTCTATAAATAAGATCGAACAAAAAACTCCAAATCAACAAAATTCCTAATTCATTTTTCTTAAACTCGAGACAAAGAATCAAAAGGAGAAACAAAATTGAGTTTTCTTCAATAACTGAGTTCATAAAAGGTTTCGGAAGTCGTCCTTAAGATGACTTCAAGCATGAGGAGACAATGAATCGCAGTCAAGTCTCATGAACATTTGGCTATACGTAAATGGTTGAGGTGAGATGTTTTCTACCCAAAGTTCGATTGTTTTCGTTTAAATTATCGATATATGTGGTTATTCGACTCCAAAATTATCGTGAGAAAAAAAGTTTATTACTACATATAGGAGACAAATTGTTTGCCAAAAATCATGGTCAATAAGTAAGAGGATTTTATATAACAATCCAAACATGATACTAACTAAAAACTACATTCACCATCCCTCCCAGATTTTGGTCTACTAGACAAAGTAAAAAAGCAAACAATAAAGAGCAATGTGTCTTGTTGTTGTGATATATCATCTTTTCCCTTTCAATATG